TATATATATATATATGTATAGCAGATTCTTTGTAATTTAATCATTTCGCAAAAAACCTACATTTGTTATAAAATGGCAAATTTTCTATTTTCTATAAAAATTCGGCGTTTTATAAAAAATCTAAGTCTCTTTGTGTTATGTGCGTGCATGTGTGTATCGAATCGTATTATTTCAATTTAAATGTTAACATGATCTCTAATGTTTTTTTTTTGCTAGCAAATGTATTTAGAAATAATAGTTCTCATGCATATGTGTATATAGTATGAAACTCTTGCCAGCTGACTCTTGACATTTTTATGTATTTTTTATAATATACAAAAAAGAAATGCAGTCTCTAATAAAAACAAGATATCGATGATACAATATATATAGTTAGGCGATGATAAAAATATTAAAAATATACCGTATAAACAAGAATAATGCAGTTCTTTTAGTATATTCGTCATGCTTTTATTGTATCAATCAAAGTAGACTTTGATACGATCTTTCAAGCATTTTGTATGCTACATGTAGTGAATATATAATATTCGTGCATTTGGCATATGATATTAGCAATGAAATCGCTGATATTCAGGAATAGATTATAAGATACGAGAATATGTTTCAAGACAAAAAAAAGTTAAAGATTTCAAATAATTTTTTATGTTTGATTCTGGAGAATACACATCTATTCTTAGTTTGAATATATTTAAACATGTATGTTTGCAATGTATACACTTCGAATATTTTTATACTCTGAATACATCCTAAATTTACTTTTATAATGAGATAATGAGAATATAAAATCTACTTTTATATTCAAACATTATATTTTTTTGGATTATACTATTTTGAACGCATTAGTCATATCCTAATCATACATTGGCTTATAATTCTCTTCTTCATAGCATGAATGATATAACACCGTATTTGTGACAAGTTTTAATAGGATCCTTCCGAGGTGAAGACTAGTACTAGTTCAAGCGTGACATAAATAAGTATAGCAAACCTAATGGATCGCAGTCAAGGATTTATCGAGACAGGGATTTATTACGCGCTAGGGAGACTTTGTCGAGAGAGAATCTGGGTTTGCATTATATCGAGGTATAACATACAGACGATAATCACGTTTCACTACAACTCAAAGAGACAGAGCAATTAATTTATCAAATTTCTCTCGCCTAGATGCAAAATTCATAAATAGATTAAAACTTTTAATATAACCACATATATATAAAACAAAAAACCTAAAAAGAATGGTTTATTAAGAATAATATTGTAACCCTTTGCTAATTTATATATGTATAAACTTTCTTACATAATCTTTTAAATTATGTTTTAAGAAAACATGATAAATTATAAAAAATATATAATTCAAATTTATCGCAGTGCTGTTTAAGACCAGATCTGTTTTTGTGTACATTATATTACGTCCAAAGTAAACGATGCTGGTCTACTTGTTAGTCAGTATCTGTGCAGTGGATTCACGATGTCGCGATGTGCTCGGGTGTGTGTGTGTGTGTGTGTGCGGATGATGATAGATATAATGAATTTTCTTACCTTGCAACCGCCTCGCTGTATACGAATCCAGCAGTTGCGCGTCTCACCACCTCGAAGCATAAATCAGAGCCATCCATACTGAAAAAGAGCCGGGATATTAAAACAGGAACAGTCAATGCGCGATATAGTAAAAAGATCTTTAAATTGCGTATTTTTCTTTCTTTCCTAACTTTTATTATTTATTAATTATATATTATATTAATAATTTAATTAATGTATATCTATTTGTATTAGATATGATCAAATTTAAATACAAAATGGATAGTATATATTCACTTTTAATTTTAGGAACGTTATCAAAAAAAATTATATATATTATATAATCATATATTACAATCATATATTGACAATAGCGAAATATTGATTATTATAATTTTTTACAACAAAAGAAAATCGTCTCATTAAACTAAAAAAAGTAATGAAGTGCAATTGAGTGTCATATTATTTAAATAGTATCGTTAAAAACGCCTTGAGCACCGAGTCTATTAAAAGCTGTAGCTATATCTTATCCGATAGCGTAGATTATTTCAAGAGCACCTCGGATATGTGTATCCAATTATAGTAAACTATAGTAGAACGTTATAACAGATTGCAAACAACTAAATGGAAAACGTGCCCCTCCCGAATAAAGATAGAGCCAAGGAAATGTCATGTATTTATTTTGCCGAGTCTTTTATTTTCGACGACGGCATGATGCTTTTCCATCTCGTATGCCGAGAGCTTAACGTTCAACCAGCCTGAAGGTATAATTATGCCAAGAAGACGAGATAGTAGACTTGATATATAAAGAACGAGAATTAATGCCTTTTGTTTAAAGTCATTAAAAAAAAGAATAAAAAAAAATTGCTTAACTAACTTAAGTTCACGATTAAAAGGCATGATGTCGCGATGTGCTCGGGTGTGTGTGTGTGTGTGTGTGTGCGGATGATGATAGATATAATGAATTTTCTTACCTTGCAACCGCCTCGCTGTATACGAATCCAGCAGTTGCGCGTCTCACCACCTCGAAGCATAAATCAGAGCCATCCATACTGAAAAAGAGCCGGGATATTAAAACAGGAACAGTCAATGCGCGATATAGTAAAAAGATCTTTAAATTGCGTATTTTTCTTTCTTTCCTAACTTTTATTATTTATTAATTATATATTATATTAATAATTTAATTAATGTATATCTATTTGTATTAGATATGATCAAATTTAAATACAAAATGGATAGTATATATTCACTTTTAATTTTAGGAACGTAATTTTTTACAACAAAAGAAAATCGTCTCATTAAACTAAAGAAAGTAATGAAGTGCAATTGAGTGTCATATTATTTAAATAGTATCGTTAAAAACGCCTTGAGCACCGAGTCTATTAAAAGCTGTAGCTATATCTTATCCGATAGCGTAGATTATTTCAAGAGCACCTCGGATATGTGTATCCAATTATAGTAAACTATAGTAGAACGTTATAACAGATTGCAAACAACTAAATGGAAAACGTGCCCCTCCCGAATAAAGATAGAGCCAAGGAAATGTCATGTATTTATTTTGCCGAGTCTTTTATTTTCGACGACGGCATGATGCTTTTCCATCTCGTATGCCGAGAGCTTAACGTTCAACCAGCCTGAAGGTATAATTATGCCAAGAAGACGAGATAGTAGACTTGATATATAAAGAACGAGAATTAATGCCTTTTGTTTAAAGTCATTAAAAAAAAGAATAAAAAAAAATTGCTTAACTAACTTAAGTTCACGATTAAAAGGCATACAATTATAATACTCTATGTTGCTATTTTTTACAGTTCTAATCTTATAAGGCTTGTAAAATTGTTTTATTATCCTGGCTTTTAAATAAAGTAAATAAAATAAATGATAATAAATAGATATATATAAATATGTGTTTTGTCATCCATATATTATATATTATATTAAAGTGCTCTCTAAGTAATGAAATGTGGTTACCAAAATTGTAAAATATGTTCGCATACTTACTATTCGAATACCATGTATAACATGCCCTCAGAACTATAAGTTTCTAGTAGTTCCACAATATGTGGATGTTTCAGCATATGGCATATTGTAGCTTCTCGTTTTAGATCTAAAACATGTAAAATATGGATGTAACCTAGCAGATTTTAACACATAAATCATTGCATGAATTGCAATTGCTGAGTAACCGTTAATAAAATCTTACAAATATTTAAAAATGAAACGCTAAGGAAATATATAAAAAGTTATTAACATATAAAATAATTACGAGGCAAATGTAATTTATTTGCAGAGTAAATATTATGTAGCTAATACCTCAAATTTCATTATAATAATATATAATATCATTATATATAATATTATAATAATATAATATTATTTATCAAATAGGAAATTAATATCATTATTGATTACAAATACATAAATGCACAAAAACTTCATTAAAAATTAAAGATAAAAGCAATTGAAGAAAAAAGAATACACTGTACATTCAAATATTGTGAAAAAGAAAAGGGATTATTTTAAGCCGATTTCAGTTAAACAAAACTCGTATCTGGATTCAAATACCATATCTCGATCGGATATAAAAACTTCGTTTCGCATATCGTTTTTACTAGAGTCAATTTAGATGCCGTATTTGCATTGAACTGCAATGAACTGCAATAGAATCTGCAGTTTCAGGCAAAGCCACAAAAGTTTGCTGCAATAACGAAAGCTTTTGTATTTTCAGCGCGCTTTGTACTAAATCGGAATATTATAGAAAGAAACTAATCACAATAGCTTTAAACAAAGACTTATAACGTTTAACATTATCCTTGTACGATCTCAAAAATTTCATATGGCATCTCGGAAAAATATCTATTTTCTTATTAATACTATGCAATTATAAAAAATATTTCCGATATGTGTGTGTTAAGACTATCTTTTTGAAAAGTGTTTCAAAATCAGCTTTCTTTACTGTCACAATCTCAACTGTTGTATATTTACTAATTGCCCATGTATGCTAATGCATGATGTACAGGTAAAAATTAAATATATTTGTTTTATTTCCAGAGAAATGCGTTTGATTAGAAAAAATCGATTTTGAAACAATGGTCCTCATATATCGTCTGGACCTGTCAGTTAGTATGTTGGGTTAAACCTCCGAAAAATGTGCAGGTCCGCCTTTCCAATCGCACAATGGCTCTCGCATCGTTTCATGACTCGAACCTACGTTTAGTCGATCGCACAGCATTGGAGAAACGCGTGTTGTCAGGTACGCGGATAAGGGAGTATAGATCTTGTTTCGAACATTCGGTGGAAATTAATGGTAGGGTATTTGCGAGGAAATGGTAGAAACTGTTTCTTTCTCATTTCGATAAACTGGTGGATGTAAAATAGTCCAGAACATAAAATATAAATTTCTTTTATGCATCTGATTGAGTAATAAAGAATTAAAATAGTCCTTCAAAGTTAAATCAACATAGCTCTCTATTTAATAAAGCTATTTAATTAGCCAAATATTGCAAAAATCATAAAATATATGAAAGCGAAAATATGATATTAAAATCATTTCATAATTATTCAACAGATTTTTCAAGAAAACTATGAAGAATATATAAATTTAATCAATAAATTGTGAAAAATATGCATCGCAAAATATTCTGCTAATACCACAAAAATATATGTGTTCAATACAATTTTTTTATCTTAGAGTTTTGAAGAGATTCGATCAAAATGAAACATTTTTGTATGTGTTCAAAACTCGAAATCTGAGAAACACAGATTCAGATAGTTCCTTGTTCGGTGTGTCTCCCTTGCGTACCATTAATTATACGTACTCACCTGCAGTGCTGAGCCCAGGGCTAGAAGTGAACTTCGCCACATCGACGATTTTTACAGCGAAAATCTGCCCGGTATGACGATGAATGCACTTCCGAACGACGCTGAATGGTCCCCTGCAACAATGCAGACGAGACGTCAACACTAATAATTACACTCGCGGAAGTCATTCGAATAGGAATTACGCGCGTTGTCAGGACGACTCGCAGATCAAATAGAAGGCATCGGATCAATAAGCACAAATAATTAGATATCGCATAATATTTAATACTTAACAAAAGAAAAAAATAAATTTTATATATTGGAAGGGAGAAAATTTTTTCAAATTTCTTTTTTATGTAAATATTTATCGTGTAAAGAAGAATTGCATCGAAAATTTATTTTCTTACATAATTTATAATTTTAATTAATATCTATTCTTCTTTTAGGAGCGCGTTTATATTTATAAGATTCAGCTCCAATGTCTACCAAAAATAAAATATAAAGATTACATATTATTTATTTTAATATATTAACAAATAAAATCCTTGAAGTTTATAAAGACGTGAAATGTTGAAGTTCCGATGTTAGAGGATTAATATCTTGAGATTTCTTTGACATCACTTTATAGACCAAGGTCACGTCCTTCCGGTGACCTAACGCCATTTTTAAATGTCGCGTGCGCTGTGACTCTCCATTTTTCCTACGCATGCATATACTAATTTTGACGTACTACCTTTGCATCCATACTATGTATCTAAATGTAAATTTTACAGGAGTTTTTACATTAAATATAAAAAAATGTAGAAAAAGGAAATGTCAATATAGATCATAGTTCGTTAAAGGAATTAGAAACTTCTCCAATCAGAGAAAAAAAATAAAACATTTTAAAAAATAATTTTAAGGCAAACGAATGTGATTTGATATAAAAATAATATTTCTAGCGTAGAAATTTTGATGAAAATTTCTTACTAAATAAAAAATATTTTTAATTTCGAAATATTCATTGCTCATTTATGTACCTGAAATGAGCAATATTATATCTAATAATGTAATTATTTCTTAAATCTTAAAAAAACATCAACAGCTGTACTATTAAGGAAAGCTAATATATAATTATATCTCTGCATAAATTAATGTTAGTTTTGCATAAGATTAATTAATTAATCAATTTATTTTGCTCTTCAAAGACTTTATATAGATAAACATTGAGATAAACAGATAAATATTGAGATATCTTGACCAATATTTTTAAATAAAATGTTTAATATTGATTTGTACCTTAAGACTTAAGAATTGAAGGAACAAAATATACGCGCGCATTCTCGTATTTATATTTAGAATAATTGTTAATTTTCACATACATACGAACAATTCAATTTCTAAATATCGACATTACAAATGTAAATGATATAGGGAAAGGGAGGGCTATCTGTCTAATTATCTCTCTGTTCTCTATACAAGATAGATAGTCTGTGAAACGAGCAGCTTCTGTGAATGTGCGTGATGTATAGGAACATGAGTAGGTCATACGATCAGACCTATACTTAGGAGTTAAACTCGATAACGGTTTCGATTATCCATCGAATGATAACCACGCATGCATTCATGAAATTCGTGAAAACCCACAATGTCATATGTATAGCATCGGTGAACATCTGCGCCTGCGGTTCGTACAATGACAATACATCATCATATCTCTGTATATACGTAATTATATATATATATATATATATATATATATATATATATATATTATTATATTCAGTTATATTAGTGATAACTTTTCTTTCAAAAAAATTAATGTTATTAAAAATATTTTTAATACTTCCATCTCTTTAATATTTCTAACTTTAATTCATAATAACGATCCATAATCGTGTCTACAATGACGGTCGCATTTAATATTATTATATATATCGTAATAATTATTCAAAACAAATATTAATTATTATTTTCTTATGAAAATTATAGTCATGCAATTATATTTTGCATTCACTGCGTTTTATATTTCTCGAAACAATCCAAAATTAATAAAATCAATGCAATACAGTCTTTTAAAGTGTGCTTATATAAATCTTTTGCTGTAACATACAGATACACATATACATAAGCCATTATGGTATATCCACGAACGAGTTAGTATACATCTAACCTCCGTTTTTCGTTGTTAAAAGCTCTCTTACAAGACGGCTCTTGAGTGCCTTAAGATCTTTATAAATCGATTGACAGCGTAATCCGCCTTTTATGAGAAGTTATTGACATCTCGTCACTTTCGAAAGGGTCAAACATTATCGCGACCTACATTCGAAACCGATTTTTCTCTTGAAAAAGAATATTCTCCTAAAACTTTTTGATTTTTTTAATAATTAAAAAAAAAAAACGTATGCTGTATATATTCTATCTACTTTTTGTAACATCCTACATGTAATAAAAATGCAAATTAAATTGACCTATCAATTGATAATATTTTATGTTAAGTATCGCATTTTATTTCTATATAACTATATACTGTATATAAATAGTATTTCTTTTCTTTCTTTAAAGCTTGCGTTAGGAAAGCCATTAGTGAACAAGTTCCCACATTATCAAATGGCACTCTATTTAACCTTTTCGTTGTAAATTAGATTTCGAATTTGTCGTAATTGAACTTTGCCCTCCCCAATTGGTATAAAAGTTACGTTAAAGGCGTTTAGAGTGCTTTATAGATGTAAGCGTCCAAGTTCTCATACAGGATTTCGATTTTCAAAGCGGCAATTAGTTGTTTGAAATTTTAGGTAAATGATAGTATGTCGCTTACATTGAAATTATAACTAAATTAAACATAGCATATCATTGATTAGATACTGATTGAAATTGCTGACTTACCATCTAATTTATAGTTTATTAACAATTGGAAAAGATTGTTTCCCGTAGGATTAAATAAAGTTTAATAAATAATATTCACACACGGAGAACACACGGATGTGTGCTCGCGAGATATTCAAAGGTTCGTTTAACTTGCCGAAATATCGTATTTTATATCGACAATTCTTATCAGATTATTCAGTCGCTTTCATACTATGCGCAATTTCTGCAGTTACTCTTATCGACACGTACGGATCACATATGAAATGGATAACCGAAATGCGGTGCATAAGTGGCAATTACTCCTTTGTCTCTCTTGTCGGTTCTGTTTAACTAAAACCGCACTGATATTACGTTTTCTTTGTTATACATCGTCATTATAAATTGCTCATTATTTGGAGTTAGACTGTAAGTTTATTATAATGAGATTTTAATTCCACCAATTTTTCACCGGATAATGTTTGTTAAATTTATGATACATAGTTCTTTTTAAAAGATTACTTTAATTTAAAATTATAAAAAATATTTTATATTTAATTTAGTAATATATTGATGCATTATATTAATATGCATTTAACATATCATGTATCTTATTATGTCGATATACATATGCGCATGCGTATTAATTAATTAGATATTCAAATTAATCTAATCAGGTATTCTCCTAACTCAGGCAATTTAATATGCTCCTGCGATATAATAGCTGCAAAAGAGTGAAATTTACATAAATTTGCATAAGATACCAAAATTCAAAAATAAATCGATAACAATTTATGACATTAATGTCAACTTTAAAATCAATAGCAAAAAACGGATGTGATTGCACCTTTCTATCAACGTCAGTGCCGAATAATTTAATTGATTGTAAGTAAATATTCTTCTTACTTTTGAATTCGTATAGATTCAGTAGGGGATATATATAGAATATCGCATGATTACTAAATATTCTTTTAATCTTATAAATATTAGAGCCAAAAATAAACAAAGAAAGAATTTCAAATATTTGTCGCACAATATCAAATATAAAGTTAAAAGAATATTCGATAAGTTTGAAATATATACAAAATATATTTTTCAATATCTTTTCTTACGTTAGTTAAAGATTCAATAGATCTATATAAAAACATCCTTTAATAAAAAGTTAAAGATGTTAATAAGAAAAAAAAATTAATAGCTTTGTGCGTTTTAAAATGTTAAAAATTTATTTTTAAATGTTAATAAAAATGACATTTTATTCCCGAATTCCAAAAAAATTTAATAAAAAATAAAATTAATTTAATAAAAAATAAAATAAATTTAATAAAAACAGAATCTTTTTATGTATAAATTATACTTATAAAGATATAATGTAAAATGTTCAAAGCTTTGAAAAAATGGCTTTATATAATCAAATATTCACGAAAAACAAAATTCACTCCAAGAGAATGTCAAAGAAATATCTAGCGTTGTAATATGAGAGATACATATATATGCATTCATATGACATTATAAATCTCGATATCGATCTATAAATCGTTAATCAATTTTTCTTCATTTTTTTCCGTCAAAACGATTTATAATGGATTTCATAGATTGTATGGATTCATTATATGCATATATTAATTATTTGTATATGATATAAATCTAAATTCTTCGGCGGATTCAGCCACTTCAGCGGATAAGAGATATCGCGGGGCTTATCTATAATAATATTATTATGATAAACATCTCACGGCAGTGTTCGTCAATTAATATTTTGTAGCAGTAGCATTACAACATATGTGCATTGTTTCATTATCATTTACATGCTATTTAAATGTCAAAATTATGCATTATTTTTCATATAAAACTGATCTAAAATATGGACAAAGCTTATGAATTTTTTGTGTAAACAATATTATCTCACGACAACTGATAATCAAATCAGCATTTCATCGAAGATTATTGGATAGATATAACTGGTCAGTAAATATAAAATCGGTCAAAGAGAGGGAAACAGGTTTTAACTGTACGGTTACTCGAATACTGACATGTTGGCGGTCATTACGTTTCTCGCGTATATTTCTTCGGTGATCGCGTATAACGCTGGTAAATCATTCGATTATTTCACAATATTATCGCGTGAATCATTTGCGCAAATATCGATTTATAATAATACATTACAGATATTTATGATAGAGATATTCTCAGGTGCCGACTGTGCGATCTCTACAAAGTATAAAATTGGTGATCTTAAGGAGCCTCAACCGTTGCTCTTGAAGCAGGTTGCCAAAAGTGCGAACATTTGGTATCCGGATGATGATAATGGAAC